AGCGACCAATGCAGCAATCGGTATCAGTGCGTACAATAGTGCATCGAATGCGCCCCAGAACATCTATAAAATAATAAATAGCGTAGCTAGTCCGATTAATGCGTTTTACGCAGTTCCATCCAGCGAACGTTTGCTTGCTAAGGATTTCCACTGCTTTGCAATTTTGCCTGTGCAAAAACAGTTGAAATGTTGTCTGGTTCCTAAGCTGCGAAATTTCCGACCAAAAACTTCCGATAACGGCACATGAAACACGAGCGTGCGCTTCAAAGCTGAATTCAAAACTTCGGATTTAACTCGGAGGCCAGAAAACTGGGGAAGCCGAAGCCCAAAAATTCGACTTCCCAGGTTTGCTGGCTTCCGAGTTATCAATTTTCACGCCAAAACTTTCACGATGTCGTACGTTAGCCTATGCACACATGAAGAGTGGATTCTCGTGAAATCCAAAAAAAAAAAAATCTTGAAAACGTAAAATTCAAGAAAAAGCAAAAAAAAAAACTAACCAACTCAACATTGCTTACTCCGTAAACTCGACATGATACGCATCGTTCTACCAGAAAGTACTGCTTGATATGCTCATGTATTCGTTTGATTCCTAATGCCGAATATACGATAAACATTGCATAACCGGCTCCCTACAATCAAAAATACTTCAAAAAATACTCTCTCAACAATTTCAAACTGAATTCCAGCAGCTCTGAATTCACAAGGTTTGATTCTCCAACTGCATGGCTGTTAACTTTTTATTCAATTTGCTTTGACCAATGTTGCATCGCTGTGTGGACAGTACTTGCTGGCGAACCTAACGCTCGTTTCATGTCTTCTGAAGGGATTACAAACTCGCTCCTGTGAAGCACTGGGCAAAACTTTAGCCGTAGTTGAGATTTGTTAGCTGTGTGTGTGTGTGTTTATCGCGAATTTTGCCATTTTTTGACCAAAATGAAGTATCTTTTATCGACCATGATTTTGCTATTAAAGGTTGAAGAGAAAATATCAGGAAGGAAAGAAAACAAAGATCTGTTCTAGAATTTGTTCTAGAAAATTAAGAAATCCGTAGTTTGGCCAATTTTTTACTAGATGAAATGCAGTACAACAATACCTTAATATAAGCTTTGTAGCAGAAATAGCTCGGCTGCTCAATAACGCTTCGTGGTTCCGATACTGGCGCTTCATCCATCCTAAAATTGCTTTTTTTTTAAAAAAATGATAGATTTTTTTTCAAGTCATCCGTCCAGCACTCCTTCAATACACAGACATGGGCTATTTGTTGTGTTCATTCCGAATTGTCACAAACTATCCACTATTTCCGATCATAGGCGGGTCCAGGGCCACTTCCTGGGGAGGACGGAGGGGGGGGGGGACGATGAGTGACAAGTGGAAGGGAGGGAGGGAGTGAGGCTTCTAACTTATCGACAATTGGGAGGGGGATGGAATTGGTCCACTGGTGCGGCAACAAGGAGTGGGGGAGGGAATGGGACTTTTGGACGGGGGGTGGGGGGGAGGAAGGAGCGACAGAAGATGCGGAAGAGAGTTTTCTTCAGTTTTAACTTTAAACCCGATTTTTGTAGCACTGGTGCCTGTGCCGCTGAGGAGGAGGGGAAAAGGGCGAAAGACTCATCGCCCCCTCTCCCCTGCCCCTCCCTCCCCGCAGATCCACTTATGTTTCCAACTGAAACCAATCAGCCAGAGCCTCTTTCGGGTTGGCGCCAACCGACACGCTCTTCTTATGGGTTCACGCAAACGGTCGATTCTCCTTCCGGATTGGCACGAATCACCCTTCTTCGCGAAACCAATTGCTCTTCTCCTGGATTGTTACCTGCCGCCACCACCTTCCCTCCCCTTTTTCCCCTTCTTCCTTCGCCCCTACTCCCCTCCGCCTGGGACTCCCCTTTCCAACTGATACCAGCCGCTTCTACGCATGCACGAACCGGCAGGCCCCTCTCGCGGACCGGCAGCTACCAGCGCCCTCCTCCCCCTCTCGCCCCGTTTTGGATTTGTACGGACTACCTGGTTTTTTTCCCGAACTAACGCGGACCGTTTACCCTGCCCCTTCCTTCCCTTCGGACTCGAAAATCCGGCCCCATCCCGTACTTCCGGAGACACGCGACCAGCGAAGCCCCCAGCTGGCAATAGCAGCTCACCGAGGAAACGACCGCACGGCACCCTGTCAATAGATGTGAGTGGGCGAT